GGATTACAGGCGTGTGCCACCATGCCCGGCAAATTAACACTATCTTGATTGCCATGTTGAACTGGAATATCCTCAGATCTTCAAAAGAATTTTAAGGGGGTGGGATGTAGCTCAATGGTGAGCAATTGTCTAACAAGTACAAGGCCTTAGATTTGATCCCTAGCTCCACACATGCACAGAAAACTTTATAGACCTTTTGCACGATAGACTATTACAGATTGATTGTAAACTCTTTGTCCATAGGCTGGTTTCTCCCAGTTCCACTTTAAGAAGAAACTCTTATGCCCAAGTTCTATATGAAGTGACTACAGATTTAACAGGTCTAAATGACATATCAAAACTAAAAATCAAAATAAAACTGTTTGAACTCTTAGAATTCCAATTTGCCTACTTATAAGCCAAATAATCTTGTTCTTGTTTTCTAAATGGATCAACAGCATAATACATCACATCTAACTTCTAAGAGTAGGTTGGTTATCTGTTTTTTTAGGACACAAACATTCAGTAAATATACATAGCAACTTCTTTATAGGACATGCTACTATTAATACTGTGCTTGAATATATGTGAATGAGAGTCTGTTAAAGAACCAAATTAAATTCTGTATGCCATTTTACTTTTCATTTAGGATCTAAAGAGAAGTTATGAAAGAGATTAAACACCAAATCCAAATTTATCTAAGACAAGATAAATTGTTGCTGGAGTATGACAAATCAATGGTTAAGCTCATTAACCAAGTATAATATTTCTGTCATTCACTTCCCGTACCTTCAGCTGCTGAGGACTCAGATTTTAAATTCCATTGTTTCAATGCAGCATTATTACCAGGTCATCATAAAGCTTTTATTCATCTTCTTCCTTGACCCCAGTCAACAAGCCTGTACTTTTCAACTAAGGCTGCATCTCTAAAATAACTTAATAGGATTCACAATATGCTTCCTGCCCAAATAACAAATTTTTCCTTTGAATAAAACCCCAAAATATCTCCACACATTTTTAGTAAGCCTCCAGCTTCCTCTAAACAATTTCCAAACTGATTCCATATAAAAGCTATATTTGAGATCAAGAGTATACCGTAAGAGAACAACTATAGATAACCACTGTTATAACAGCCATTGTCTGTACTTTGGGTAAAACTATCTATTCAATATACTAAGTGATCTCTATTTAATGCAAACTTTGTTATATTCTCAGTGTATACAAGTCCTCATATTTCAAGATCCATCTCCCTAATCTATAATCAACTTTTTTGTTTATTTGTTTTTTGGCACTGGGGATTGAACTCTGGACCTTGCACTTGCGAGGCAGGTGGCGGAACCACTGAGCTAAATCCCCAGCCCTACAATCAACTTTTTCATACCAAATTACCTCAGAACTATCAACTTCAGAATATTTCATTAAATCTGTACCAATGAACTGACATTGACCACTATTTAGGATCAGTCTCTGCAGGTGGTCATGAACCTATGGCATGCTATCTGTATCACTAAAAGCTCTAAAGATTCGCCATCACTGGTCTATGCTCTTGGGCCAAATGTATTCTGGTAAGTTTATATGCAATCTCTATTTCTAGGCCTTCACATGTTTGAGATTTTGAGCTGATATGTTTTTTTGTTTTTTTTTTTTTTGTTTTTTTTTTTTTGCTCACTGCAGGCTGATCTATGTAGATGTTTAGCAACATCCCTTGTTTCTACAACAATTCCAGTAGTAAGCATACCCTAACAACCAAAAAATTTCTTCAGACATTGTTAAAAGTTCCCAAGGATGATAAAATTGCTCCTGACTGTCAACTAATGCTGTTTATACAGCTGTTTCTAGCCCAGTTTGGGACCTTAAGTGGGACTTGACAATACTTGTAGATACTATTTACAGTTACACAATATATCCACATGAATTACATAAATCCTCTGAAATTAAAGTTAGTAGGTTTCTTCTTCAGATGAAGAATTAACTCAAGGATGAGTTCTTTTCTCTCAGGTCCCATTTTCGTGGTTATAATATCAAAATAGGATTGTATATCTTTAAAAAAAAGTTAAAATACAGGGCTGGGGATTTAGCTCAGTGGTTCTGCCTCTCACCTCACAAGCTCAAGGTCCCAAGTTTGTTCAACAGTAATAACAAAAAACTTAAAATACAAACACAGATGCTCAGGACTCATAAAATTTATGCAATGTGAGAAATTGAAAGTGTAAATGAGGATCAAAATGTATAGTAGATAATGAGAAATAAGAAGAAAAGATCCAAAGGGGAAGAGGAAGTGGGAGGGACAGGAAAAAGGAAAGAAGGGAAAGGAAAAAAAATGTAAAGGAAGTCTTTGTAAATAGGGAAGGTGGAGGTTCGAAGGGAGGGCAGGGGAATGGGGGAAAAAATAAGAACCAAGATACACCTTATAAAGGTACACATTCCCAATGATGAATATCATCACATTGCACACCTAAAATGTATCAATGAACGTAATAAAAAAATCTTTTTTTGTACTTATTATCCTGGACACACTACAAACATTAACAAATAAAAATGATATATTCTACATATATTTGAAATTGTTTACATTTTCCTTTGGCTTACCTGAAGAAACCCAGGAGGGCGGTTTAAAACTGTATCAAGAGAATTATCCAAGAACCTCACAATTCGAAGGTACCCAGGATATGAAGGTGCACTGACCTCCCCAGCAGGATTTACAAAAAAAATCTGTACTCCATTTGGTATCAAAATCAATTCATCAGCATCCATCCCTAAGGTCTCAAGAGGAGGTGGCTGAGAATGATTCCTATAGAAATCTTCTCCAACTGATGAAATTTCACCGGAATCTATTCCATAAGACACAGTATAGTGACCCTCAATAGCCTGAGGAGTATAAGCAGGAGGAGCTTCTGATGGACCACTTGGAGGTGGTAAGGCTAAAGAAGGTGCAGCAATAGGTCCTGAACTTGTAGTTGCAGTGTTTCCATTTATTTCAGCATGCTGAGGTGGTGGATTAGAGGACTGAGGCCCTGGTGACTTTTCACACATGGCTTTAGGTGGAAATTCTGGATATAACTTGGGTATCTCCTGAAGATCATTCCGTAGGGAAGTGGCAAGACCTTTCTCTAGAATTTCTAACCTGGTGCGTACATTCTGTAGTGTTTCTTTCATTTTCTGTTGCATCTGTCTAGCAGATTCCCACCCAGGGCCTTTGTGTTGAGGCTCTGTTGATATAATGCTGATTCCTCTGAGCAGGTGTCCTATTCCTTTCTTATAGTAGTTCTTTGCTTCTTCCTTATGACCTGATTCATCTGTATTCAAACCTTTATCAACAAATAAAAAAGCATTCGTGTATGCTTCCCTGATAATCTTAATTTCAGCAGGTTCTTCATTCTGTGGCTCTTGCTCCATTTCTGCAAAATAGGAAACATTATCTGTCATTTATGTTTAGCTATTTGTTTACTTATCTACTGTTATGGTTTGTGTTTAAATGTCCCCCTCAAAGTCTCATGCAGATGAAATGGGACTATCTTTTTCCGAGGTAGTTCAATCTGGAATGTGTGATGCTGGGTTAAAGGCGTGTGATCACTAAACCACTACTCTTGAGTGATTAGCTTGGCACTACCCTAATCTGAGTAGTCTGAATATAAAAGAGGCAAAAAGATGCAGTGAAGGTCTCTTGTTACCTTTGATACCTTGTGTGAACCATGTTGTTTCTGCTCTGCCATGCCTGTTTGTCATCTCTGCCTTGGAATTTGTCAATTATGGACTGAAACTTCTATGAATTGTAAGCCAAATAAACCGCTTACTTTTTAACTTTGGGTGTCAGAAATTTTGTCTCAGCAGTGAGAGAAAAGTAACTGACGCATTTACTATTCAACTCTCCTAATTATATTTCAAGAGGACAGGAACCTTGTCTCTGTCTTGTTCACTATTATGTTCCCTAAGACTACTTTTAGTTCCAACACAGAGAAAGCACTCAGAATGTACTTGATGAATGGTTAAATGCTCTTGGACCTAAAAAACTTGCTAATTAAAACAGAAGAAAATAAATCAGAATATATTAAATGAGTTTTGTGCTAGTTTCTTCTAATACATATTTCATGTATCAATCTTTAGGGTTAGGATCAAGGGTCTCATTCTAAAACTTATTATAATATAAATTCAGTTTATATCTAGCTAATAAAAAATGAGTTGAAGCACATATTATAGAGATAGAAGAAAAAATCTGGAAGGAACTTCAGTATTATCTATCACTAATGGTAACAAGTTACCCATGAGCAGTTTGCCTTAATTTCCTCCCAAAGTCCTACTAAAATGACTTTTAAAAGATTAAAAGAACACAACTATTTTCTTAATAAAAATACATTAATCAGGTACTTTAAAAAAACGAATAAACACTATTTCATCAAGAAAATTAAACTAAAATCCATAATAATTCAAACCATATACTTACAAAATTTAGATTGACCAAGGTTAAACAACTGGAATTCACACTTTGCTGAAAAGTGAAAGCTGAAAAATGGCAAAGCCACTTTGGAAAATGGACAACTGCTATAGCTAAGTATTATTCCACTCTACCACCCATTTGCAGAAATATAACCAGGAGAAATGGACACATATAAGAGACACATATAGTAAGTGGTAATTTGTGGTTTTGCTTTCCATGGTTTCAGTTAGATATGTTGGCCACAATCTGATGATATTAAATGGAAAATTTAAGAAATAAACAATTCATAAGTTTTCAGTTGTGTTCTGTTCTGTGTTTTGTGACAAAATCTCATTTTATCCAACCTAGAATGTAAATTAACTCTTCTGTCCAGCATATCCAAGAACTACATGCTGCTTATCCATTAGTCACTTAGTAGCCATCTTGGTAATTACATGGACTGTGTGGTATTGCAAGTGCTGTGTGCAAGTAACCCTTATTTTACTTAACAGCCTAAACACAACTAGCAATTTGGATGTGCCAAAGAGAGGCTGTAAAGTGCATGGTGAGATTGAATTTTTTTTTTTAATCTGTGCATTTGTGAAAATATAAATTCATGGTAAAGGAAAAGTAAATTCATGGTAATTTGCTGCCACAAATCTAATTTCAAAAGTTGTATAAGAGCATAGTAAAGATGAAAAATGCGTTAAATGTGTGGGTAGAAGAGATGAACAGAAACTGTGTTCTCACTGCTGGCAAGTGTTGTGCCAGAAAGCACAACATCTACAAAGACTTCAACAAGGAATCCCCTGAAACTTGTGTCATCGAATCATTTAATGCAAATAAGGGGGTGGATGCTAAGATTTAGCAATAGGTTTGGACAGGAAATTAGAAAAATTACTGGAGAAGCTACATTTTCCAATGAAGAAGTTACTGCCATATTTCTGACAAAAGTTGTAGAAGAACCTGATTAAGGAAAAAGGACACTATCCAACAGAAGACTTTGAAAGTCAGAGTGAAGGTCTTCATAGCCAAGGAAGAAGATGCCTAACAGAATCTATATTCATTCAAGTACAAAGAAGATAATGCAGCATAAAACATGAAAAGCCAGCCAATTACTTCTGATTATAATGTTCTTTCAAAAGTTCTTAGCAAAATAACCTTTCAACTATGAAGGATTCCCAACCATGGACATCATCACCCAACTTTCTATAAGCAACATCTTTATGGTACAAAGATTCAGAATGACTCAAAGCAGAGGATCCATGTCATTCACTTCATTTCACTCCACAGGTACTGTATCACTCACATCATCATCATAAGGGTCAGTACAGTACAATTACATGTTTTACAGGAGGCGATACTCACATTTTTTGGGTGTACCAGGGATTGAACTTGGGTCCTTGCACTTGCGAGGCAGGCGGTGGAACCACTGAGGTAAATCCCCCACCCTTAGTCACATAATTTTTAAGTATATTGTAAATGTCCTTTTATTATTAGCTATTGCTAATTTCTTTTTATGTCTAATTTATAAGTTAAACTTTCTCATAGGTATGAATAAGAAAACAATAGAGGGTTCAATACTATACATGGTTTGAGGTTTTATTTGGAATATACCTCTCTTGTAAGGATATATGTGTCTGTATACAAGAGTACAAATAGCCAAGGGTCACAAAAATTTTGAGAAGAACTCCTAACAGTAAAGACAAAAATAAAAGAAATGCATTTTGTTGAAATGGATGATGGGCAGAAAAAAGGAAAAATGTTTAAATACTATCATGTATATGAACATTAAAAAAATACTGCATTCAGAAAATAAAAACAGGATGTATATATGTCACCAAAAGAGGACACTCAAAACACAAATGGAACTTTTGGAAATTAATTTAAAATAGCCGGAATAAAGTACACCTTGATTTAGTATAATTGTCTTATGTGTTTTATATGTTTTTTGGCCTGTTAGTATGGCTGTTAATATGTATGTATGATAATCTGTAAGGATTTTAAGATAAATAAATGAATCTGACACTGACAAAAACAGGAGGGTGGAAAGGAAGGCAAAAAAGCAATTGAGATGTGTTATGTACATGTACCATTTCCTCACAATGAATGCAATCTTGCACTGTGAACACAATAACAATAAAAATTTGGAGGATGGGGTGAAGGGAGGGCAGGGGTAAGGGGAAAAAAAAATGAGAATCAAGACTTGTCATGTAGAGGTACAAGATCCCAACAATGAATGTAACTGTACTGTATCCCTAAAATGTACCAATAAACTCAATTAAAGCTGGAAAAAAATAGCAATAAAAATTTAAAAAGAATGAAGATGACCCTTTGTCAGAAATCAGGGGTGACATTAGAAAGACGTTCTCTGGAAGGTCCATTATCTAACAAAATTTCCAGAACAGACAATAGAGGGGGGAAAAAAGCAACAAAGGAGTCAAAGAAATAATTGACAGAATTTTCTGAACTGGAAAACTAAATTTTCATATTTAAAAAAACTAATGGACAAAGGATAAGAAAGACACCAAGGAACATCATTAAAAACTCTGAAAACAAGGTTCAATGGACCCATCTTAAAAAGGCTTATTGAGATACCGTACAGAGTAACAGTTCAGAAGAAAATGGTACAAGGAATTCATAATTCCCAGTAAAAATGATTTCCAAACCAAGCCACATGACCACTCAGGTACTGCAGTGCATCCTGATTCCTGGATTCTGCATCTGATAAAAGAAACCCACAGACTGATAATGGAGTTCCCAAACTGCAACTTGTTCAGATTGGAATGCTAGTAAGAATTCCAGAAAAGATTTTTTCAAGAAACTAAAATTTCCAGGGCCGGGGATCTAGCTTAGTGGTTTTGCCACCTGCCTTGCAAGCCTAAGGTCCTCAGTTTGAGCCCCAGTACCAAATAAATAAATAAATTAATTAATTAATTAATTAATTCCCAGAATAACTAATGTGTTTCTAAGTTTCAAAAAGAGATCTACAGAACTATGGGGAGATTCTGATTTTTTAATTAGTGGTAAACAGATGGAAAATGAAAGAAATAAAAATCAAGACAACTATTAACTTCAGGGAAAACAAGATACTGAGCCAAAAACAAAAAATAATCATACTATTCTGTATCAAATGTTCTGATTATATCATAATAATCAACCAAATTATAAAACCACCATACAGTAAGAGAGCTGGACAGGCATACAGCTGCATGTGGTATATAGATGGAAGAGCTATAAAACTTCATCTTCCTACTGGCAAGCTGATGGGACAATGCTTAAAACTGAAAATAAAAAGTCGAAATATAAGCACACTGTTTAGAGATAAGGCCAAAAGAATTAGGTAAAGAAATTGATACAAGCCTCTTTTGGGAGGAAGAAGAAAGAGTGAGGTGGTGGGACTTTATTTTCTTTCAAGCTTTATAAACATATTTCTTAATGCATATAGTAAAAAAAATTGTCCAATAGAATTAGGTAGCCACATGTAATTCCTACTTTCCAGAAAACACATTAAAAAAGTTAAAAGAATCAAGTGAAATTAATTTCAATAGTAGCATTTTATTCATTCAAATACACCCTAAATATTAGTTCAACATGTAATCAATACAAAAATTACTGAGAAACTTACCTTTCTTGGTATTAAGTCTGTGAAACTCAGTGTGTATTTTAAAGCATATATTAATTCCAACCTAATTGTAAGTCTCACTATCTACATGTATCTAGATTAGCATTATAGGCATTGCAGTTTTAAAGATTATTTTCCTGTAAACTCATTAAAACCTTAATAGGAAATCCAGGAACTATTCTTTCCCTTATTTCCAATAAGACTCCCTTAAATCTCCTCCTCTGGTTCACAATTTCATTCCTCCATGTTGTGAGACCAGGAACTTAGCATATCTGACATCTAACAAGCTGGGATTTATTTTTCCCATAACAAAATCATAGCAGAAACTGTAGTCTAGTTTCAATAATAATATAATCTTACTTTCTAAAGTAAAAAATAAACAAGCCACTAGTTGTTCTCAGCAGCAACGCTGTGGGAATCATCAGAACATACTGTACTAGGTCCCCAATTAGAAAATATATACAACTGACAATATATAGATCCACCTTATCTGCCCTACTTCTATCCGCCTATCAAAAGTGACAATCCCTTTCCCCTGCAAATCTATCTTACATATCATCATTATGTTTTCCCTTTCCACAGATGGTAAATCCCTTCTTCCTCCAGAAACTAAGGGACAAATTTTAAACTTCACTTTCCTTAGGGTACAAGGAGGCAGAGAATTAACAAAGTAGCAAAAAAGCAGAGCCCTATCGTATTCCTAAGCACAATTAAACAGTACTTACAACCATAACAGACAAATCAGAAACCAAAACCTGTTTCCAGATAACAATGGTGTACTCGTTATATTAAATATCCCTATCAAAGTAAAAGACACGTACTTCAAACATAACTATGTATGTATATATTTTAAAAGATACAAGCAAAGATAAAATTTTGAATAAACAACTTGGCAACTTAGTTCAAGTCCACCAAATTAAAAGAAACAAACAATCACCCTTAATAGGCAACAAGTAGTCTCTAATAATACAACATTTAGGTTGAGCCTGGGTGACCCACGCTTGAAATCTCAGCACTCTGGGCGGAGGACAATAAATTTAGCCTGAAAACTTAGTGACTTAGCAAGACCTGACTCAAAATAAAAAAGAGCTGGGGATACAGTTCAGTACGAACGCCCGTTGTACAAACATGTACCGGTCAAAACAAAACAGCAGCATTTATCTTCCTAGCGCTAGTAGAAGTTATCTTTTGGCTGCCTGCCCACCCGGGCCCTTTATGAAGACATGGTTTTCCTTTATAAATTAACTTATTATTTAAACTATATATTAACAAATTATAGTTGTATATATTTATAATGTACAAAATGTTATGCTTTGACTTTTAGTAGTATGTGGAATAATTAAATCGAGGTAACGTATTAACTCAAATATGGTATTTTTGGAAATGAGAACGCGATTTTCTCTTACAGATATTGAAATGTGTAGTACTCGATTATTAGCTATAGTTCTCACACGGTGCAACAAATCTCAAGAAACAGTTATTCCTCATAATGATGTGGAGGCACGCGAGATGCTGAGTCCCCCCATGCCCCATATCGGTCTCCAACTTCATCTATAGCGTCCTGCCCATTCTGGTTGGTCCGGGAAACTATGGTTGAGAAAGTGCCACAGGTGAGAAGCAAACCACATAACATAAAGTTTCGAACAGGTCATATGAGACCACCAAAGTAAATCAATTATGCAAGAGAACGACTCAGAAAACAGCTCTTTTTAGAACCGGAGATATTCTATTGTGTTTCTCTCATAAACTTCAAAGAAAAACTTATATTTTTAAATATCTTAGGTCATTATTAGGAGGTACCAACAATACCGAAGGCCAATCATTAAGTTATAATACGATAAAGCAAACCTCGAGGACCCGCGAAGGACTGCAGAACAACCCCTCACAGTTAGGGGAACGGGCACGCCCTAAGTAACGCGATAATGCGGGTCGCGAGGAACGGCACGCTCCAAAAGGACCCCCCAACCGAATCGGCCAGAGGAATTCCTCTGCTGCGCGCCAACCCTCGGGAACATTAGCAGATGCATTCGAAAGAGTACAATCACGCTATTAGTGTTCGACTGCTGTTGACAGTTGACCGATTTACAAAAAGGTGCGCTGCTGCCGCTTCGGGAAGCTGTAAACGCTGGGGGAAGGGTAGTCTCCAAGGCGATTTTCGGGGTGCCAAGTAACCGGCGCCGGAGACGCTCGGGCGCCGCGCTCCATCCCCGCAGGGAATGAGGAGGGAGGGCAGGTCGAGTCCTTCAAATACCAGGTGCCTACCGTCTGCGAACTTCTCAAGCGCTCGTCTGGAAATGGCTCCCCTGCCCCGGCCTCACGGTCGCCACCGGCCGCCGCCCACCTGCGCCTTCCAACCCTGGCCTGCTCCGGCCCTCCCAGAAGGGCCCAGCCCCGCAGCCACCCAAGGAGCCTGGGCTCCAGCGCCTGAGCTGCCCTCCAGGCTCCCCGCCCGGCCACCTAATGATCAGATTTTGACCAACCCAGGCAAGGAGGGAGGTGCGACCCCGAGAGACATTTAATGTCTTTC